GAGAGAGAGAGAGAGAGAGAGAGAGAGAGAAATATCGATGTGAGAGACACACATTGATTGGCTGCCTCCCACACATTCCTGGACCAGGGCTGGGGATGGAGCCTGCAACCGAGGTTCATGCCCTTGGCTGGAATCAAACCTGGGACCCGTCAGTCCTCGGGCCAGTGCTCTAACCACTGAGCAACACCGGCTAGGGCTCAAGCACTACATTTTAACAAGGGAATCCTTTCTCTGAGGAGCTAGGAAATCTTGTAGAAACCATGGCCATCTGATCTAAAAGCTCATGATAACTTTAAGGATTAGTTGATTGAGGTTATAAAAGAACAAAATAAATTATACACAATGAGACAACTATAAAGAAAAATAGATTTTATTCTCTTCTTGATTTTTTCTACATTTTGAGACATGTAACTTAGAGGCAACTAAATTTCCGTAGTAGCTTTTCAAATGCAACTATCAAAATTAACCCTTCATGAAGAATTCTGGTACCTACTATGATTATAGCTCTAAAGGAAAATTCGACGATTGTCAGGTCAAAGGAGATCATGGCTTTAGCTTACTAATTTTGGGAGAGGGTAGAGTGAAGCTAGACAGTGAGAGAGCATTTGGGGCTTCTAATGGGATGGAGCTGGCAGGTCATTTAGCTCGGGCCTTACGTTCATGGAGGGCCTTAAATTTAAAATTTTAATATTATCCCCAATTAAATTGTATGTACAGTTGTATGGGTTTTTTGCCTCTGTGTTAAAAACATTAAACTATAAAATGTACTATAAATTATTCTAACTATTTTGGCTTTTCCCCCCTTTTCTATATATTAGGAGCCTAAAAAGAGTGGAAATGGCTGGAGCATCCCTCGACCTCCTAGAGGAGCAGGATATTTCGGGTAGGAAATAGCATCAGAAAACATTTATTAGATGACTGCTATTGTGAATTAAAAAGAGTTTTGGATCTTGCGATTGCATTTTAAGATATGTGTATGCTTCTAAAGTTTCCCTAGAAGCATATTAAAATAAGGAAACGAACACTGTTATAATGATATTAATGAATCTATAAGCCTTATTTAAATTCCACCAGTTTTCCTACTTCCATCCTTTCTGTGGCCCAGAATCCAACCCGGGAACTCACATTGTACTAAATTGTCAGGTTTTTGCACTCTCTTTCAAGATCTGCGATGGTGTCTCAGTCTTTCTTTCATAACCGTAACAATTTCAAAGAGTGCTTTTCAGTTTTTTGGTAAAATGCCCCTCGCTTTGGGTATGTTTGATGTTTCATGCTTACATTGAGGTTATGCAGTTCTGGCAGGAACACTCCAGAAGGGAGGCTGTGCCCTTGTCAGTGCATCAGATCGGTGTCTGTGAGGTCACTGTGTCTTATTGGTGATGTTACCTTTGACCTTGACTTTGATGTTAAGGTGTCTGCTCAATTTTTTACTCCGTAAAGTTAGTATTTTCCCCTTCGTGTTGAATAAGTATCTTGTGGGGAGATACTTCGCAAATATCCCGTTTCTCATAAAAAATCACCATTGGGCACATAGCACAGTGATAATTGTTGCAGTCAAGACCCATTAGCAGTTCAATGACTATGCAAATATCCTGTTTCTCATAGAATCATAGTGGCTCTTGTTGGAACCATAGTGGCTCTCATTGCAACAATTATGACTATAGGATTTGCCTAATTTCTAGTACATTCAATAATGGGAAAGCTACTGTAAGAAAGAACTGCCCCTTACTTACATCAGTCTGGCCTCATGAATATTTATTTTATTCTGTGGGTTTTAATTCAATACCATTATTATGTTGGTCAAACTGTTTCAGCCTTTTGTCTCCTTTCCATTTTTATTTTTTTAGCACTACTATACTTTGAGACATCATAAGATATCCCAGGCTCATCTTATATTTCCCTGCAACAGCCCTAGAGCTCCAAGGAGCCCTGGTTTCTTTTCTTGGAAAGGGGTATTTAGAAACCAAGGTCTGGGTGCTGGATGTGCTCCTTGCTGCTGGGGTGTCATTGCTTCTAGGCCCTTTCAGTGGATAGAGCTAGGATATATACAGATACATGCTAACGTATCTACACACACACATATACTTGTTTCAATATCTATCTATCATCATCTATCTATTATCTATCTAAAATACCATGAGTACTTACCTCTGACTCAAATCCAACAGGGTGCTTTCTAACATTCCCCCCTTTTTTATTTGTAATTTTTTTCTCCAGTGTGAAGGAAATAACCTGGCTCACGTTGTCTATAATATATTATTATATAGACATATAATATGTCTACAATATATAATATGGCTTTGAAATCATACTTACTTGTTCAAACCTAGTAGACATATAAAGCAATGGCTCTAACTGGAGGCAGTTTCGTCTCCCAGGGGACATTTTTGGCAATGTCTGGAGATGTTTTTGGTTGTCCTAAATGTCTTCCAATGCATAGGACAGCCCCCACAAGAAAGAGTTAGATGGCCCAAAATTCCAGTAGCCCAAGGTTGAGAAACCTTGACACAATGTAGTTTCAGAATTGCTAGCCTGTTCCCCATGACAAATAAATGTACAAACCCAAATATAATATTTGTGTATGGTTTTTTCTTTAGTCAAAACAGTGCCGTCCCATGCTTATTAGGGTTCTTTCCTTCTCCACCCCCTTCAATATGCTCATGTTATTTATGATACAGTCAGGATCATCTGTTACTGTTTTTGTTCAGTTTGGAGTTTTATTTATTTGTTTCTTGTGTGAGTGTATGGAGCGTGATTCTAAGAGTCAGAGCCAGACAAGGGACACTCAGAGAAGTGGGAAGATGTTTTACAAGTTCTCCAGATGATTCTGATGTTCCTCTGTTTTCAGAACCACTGGCCTAGCTCATGGGCGTTGAAGTCAGACCTGAATTTACCTCCAGTTTCCTATCAGGTGTGTAATGTTGAGTAAATTACTTTCCCTCTTTGAGCTTCCTTCTGACTCCTACTTCTAAGGATTATTGTCAGGATATAGAAATGTACATGTGGTGTCTATCCCAGTGCCCACCCAACGTGAGACCCCAGGTGATCGCTGTTTTCATTCTTTCCTGTATCTGTTTAGCAAATAATGGTGTTGCTCTATGTAACATATGGTTCATGCCTTTGAGTAGTTCACATTTTAGGGGGCTTTTTTTGCAGAAATTGCAATGACCATTTCTTATAGTGATGTGCAATATAAGAGGTTAAGACGATCATAATCATGATTTTGTAGAAGCTTTTCCTTAGAAAGCTTCACGAATGTAGACTGTGTATGTATCTCTCATGTAAACCATCATGGTAAAAAAAAAATCTGGAGAAATAGATAGTTATGTGTCTCTCTCAAATAGAAGTCATTTCAGGCTTTTAATAATGCCTGGATATCAGACCATGTGATGTTGAATTCTCTAGTCATGAGGGCTTGTAGACAGGTATTCAGTGTTCTCAGATAGTAGACATTGTTAAATGGTTTTTATTATACATGTAAATGTTTTGGAACAGTGCTTCGTAATTTTAATGCGTCTACACGTCATCTGGGGATCTCGGTAAAAAGCAGATGCAGAGTCAGCAGGGCTGGAGCAGGGCCTGAGAACCAACACTTCTAACGAGCTCCGAGCAGATGCAGCCGGTTGTGGTCACACTGAGAAACAAGGGTTTGTTGCATTGGCTTTGAAATCATACTTTGCTGGCTTTGGGTCCCAGTTCTTCAATTTATTAATATGAGCCTGTTATGAGTGACCATCTTCACTCTGTGCACACAGTACCTTGAGGTGTTAGCTGCTGACGTCACCCCTTCATAGCATTTAAACATTTTCAATTAACACAGGAGGAGAGGACAGACCTCTGGCAGCTAATGGGTGGAATTGAAAAACAAGTGTCTTGATAAGAGCTGAAGATGTCTCCTTTCATTTGGATCCACTTATTATTTATGAGAGTTTCCCCCCCGCAGTGTGACAGCCACTAAAACTAAGTACCTGAAGAAACTGAAACTAGAACCAGACTTGCAAATCACTTTACCACAAAGGGTTAAATCAAGATTTTAAAAAACCCATGTATAACACTGTTCTCACTATATTAACATATTAATAATTAATAAAATCATTTCAGTGAAATAATTTTTGAACCATTAAGAAATAAATAGAATACTTACTTTAATATATCATTTCCTTCATCTGCCTTTTTACAATTTCTAATTTGTGTGTGTTTGAATGTACCTAGTTTCTTGGTCTGGAAATACATTTCTATAATTTACATTCCAAATTGGGGGCATGGATTACTTTGCTCATGAAGGTGGAAGAAAATTGTGATTCTGCTGCCATGTGGCACAGAGAAGATGCCTTTCTTTTGAAAAATAATTGAGGGCCGATGATAACAGCTTTGGGGGGAACAGGGGTTGTGGAGAAAGACCTTTCAGTATTACCTCTGCACCTCAGGGCACCGAGCTGATACCCAAGTCCCTTTTCTGTTTCTCCTCAGCCTTGGAGAGTCTGAATAATGAGAGGGCACCGGACGCAGGAGCTGAACAATATTCTTAGGTTTATTAGGCAACACCCCTGATGACAGGAGCAGCTACCATGCCTGAGAGTCTGTCTGCTCTTAGATTCAGGCATTCATGCATTCAAACATGTTTATTGAGCACCTACTATGGGGTCTTAAAATTCCATTGGAAAAGCCAACAAAGCAGCCACACTATTGTCAGACAAAGCTCTCTCCAGGGACCGTATGGAGAAGTTGAGATTGCTCTGGTGGCTAATACCTGTGTAAAGAGGGTTAACAGTATAGGAGACACATTGTGGCTGGCGGGGGCCAGCTCTTTGAAGCCCCTACTCCACGGACTCCCCCTGTCAGCCCCAAAGGCAGAGGAAGCTGGCGTGTACTTTGGTGTCAAACTGCTTTGAGAGACCATCGTAGGTTGCGTTGCCTTTGAAACAGAGAGACTCAAGGTGATCTTTGCTAACACAGGGCCAATCATTTGACCTAGAAAACCTAGAAAGAAAAGGCCTTTGCCCAAAGGGACTTGAGAATAGCCACAAGTGATTGGAAACATCATGTCTGCATAGAGGTTCCAGAGAGATCGGTTGGAGTTCATCTGGTTTACCTGAAGGCAGGGGGTCGGCTGTTCAAAACGGTTCCTTATGGGGATTTCCAGGCCCATGGAGGGCGTCTCTGAATTCTTTGAGCACCGGCTGTTTAACTGCAGACATTTCTGGGAAGGACCAGTTTATTGCTAAATGCACAACTATCCATAAACGCAAAGCGTGTGGTTGAGATCTTCTTAAAAGGATTTGGAGCGGGGGGAAAGTCCCAGAAGCCGGAGGACCCATTTCAGAGATAGCACATTATCAGGTTTCCTCTGGGATGCCAGGTTAATGGGAAACGGAGCTGCAAGCTGGTGTGTGTTGCCCTCGCACACCTTCAGGTGTTGCTTGTTAAGAGAGGCACATTTTTGAAATACTTGTTTGAATGCCTGAGCTCCAAGCCCTTGTTTTCCCGGCTGCTTGTCATCCTTCTGATCGTAGCCAGAGCATCTGGGCATTTCTCAGGCGGTGGACATGAAAAGAAACTTGTCAAGGTGTCTTCTGCTCCCATTACTCTTCGGTTCATAGTCAGAATACTTGTTAGTTTCGAGCATGATCGTTTCCTGAACTAGGTAATTATTTATAGATAGCATATTGTTTTAAAATTTAATAGCCATTTTAACAGGTGATATCTCATTAAGTTTTGATTTACATTCATCCTTTCATGTACCTGCTGGCCATTGGTATGTCTTCTTTGGAAAAATCAGATGCTCTGCCCATTTTTAATCAGATTATGTTTTTACTATTGAGTTGTAAGAGTTCTTTATATACTTTGGATATTATCCCCTTAGCAGATATATGATTTGTAAATAGTAGGTGCCTTTTCATTTTCTTGATGGTTTTCTTTGCTTTATTATTTACAAATATCACATCCGTTTTGTTTTTAATATTTTTATGTTCAAAATAATGATCTCGTTAAGAATAGAAAGAGCTTTTGTTCTAATGTAACAGGTTGGAACGGGGTTAGAGGTCATAATAACAGAGCACTGGCACTGCTGACCCGTCATCATTTGATCGTTTCAGTCACTAATCTGAGTCACTAATCATGGGTTCAGATTTCGACTCTCCTGGGTCCTTGGCTACAAAACCCTGAAATAATGACTATGAAACTTTAAGGAGTTCACCATTTTGGGCGGATTTGCAAAGTGGCTTTGCCTGAATGTGAGGAGCAAGTTGGCATTTCATACCAGCTTCCCTTCTAGAAGATGGTTTAGGCCTATAGAATCACCCAGAATAGTCCCAACATGGCCCAGGTTGAGTTTCCGCCATTCCCTTCCAAGTGACGGGTGTGCCCTCTAGTAATGACTAGAGAGAAGGGCCCTCTAGTAATTTTTTATTTTAGATGCACTAGCCACTCATAATGAGCAACCCGTGTGAAACATAGGCTGGCTACTCCATGGACATGACTGAGATGGGGCGAGTCCCTGCGTACATGTGTACACATATGTACCGAACAAACTAAAATGTAAGACTTTCAAGCTATTATATGTGTTGGACAAGTCAATCTTAAGAAGTAAAGAATTTTTAAAAGTAAAACTTTCAGAGCTATTTTTATTGAATGAAAAGCGTTATAAGTTCTACTTGTGGTAAATTTTTTTTTTCTGGAGCAAGGGCATGCTGCGGGCAGTATAAAATGATAAAATTCTAATGAGAGTGTCTTTTAAATTTTGAGTTTCTCTGTGTTTTTATCAGAATGTAATCTGATAACAGAATAAATGCAGCTGCACCTGGAAGATAACAGACAATCCAGAAGGGTTTGAATAATCCTTATTTTCTCCCAAACTGGGAGAGAGTAACTAAATCTTCTTAGACATCAACAGCACTAACTTTTATCAGAGCTATGAAAAGTTTAAGATCTTTTTTTTTGGTTATTTTTGTGACAACCTTATCTTGAGTAACGGGTAATATTCAGTTTTCTGTATGTTTTTTTTTTCCTATTTGAAAGACTTATAAGAGATTTCTTAGTTTACTTGTTTTTAACTTGAAACATTTAAAATAAGTACTTTTTTCTGAGATTCTGATTTTTAATAAATATATTTTATATTTTGAGTAGTGTAGGTTTTGTATTTCTGGTTGTGATATATTTTAGGAAAGTGTCTAGGGATCCTTTCTGAGGTCAAGAATTTTTAAGTTAAGAACGAGGGAAGAAAATGCCCTTAAAATCTAAGTAAGCGAGTATTAAATAAATTGATGTTTAATCCCTTGAAAGCCAGGTTTTGGTTGAGTATCCAGTTACCCCATATGTCTTGTCTGTTGAACTGATTGATGGTAGGGAATCTGTTTTCCCCAAATAAGAGCTTTTCCACAGTTCCTTAAGAGACTCTTTCTAGAGATTTTCTTACAATGCGAACAGTAGCACTTGGGACACTGTCTCGTTTGTGACACCGGTTTGCTTCCAAATGTAAGCTTTTTGTTGGTTTATCATTTTCCCCCATGTACTGTTTTTCTCCAATCATAGCCGTATATTATTACAACTACGTGAAACTTATGTGCTTTGGACAAAGGCTACAAGAAACAGAAAAAAGGAAAATATCTATTATGTTAAAGACATGGGTTAATGGGTGAAAATTTTTAAAAATTTCTTAATGTCGCTACTGTTACTTCAGCAATTAAGTACTTGTCTTACCAAATGCCAAGGAAGACAGTTTTCATTTTTGATGATCTGGAACGAAACTTTTTTAAGCCTTTTCCATTTTGCTGTTTCAGAGCAGAAACCTTAACGAAGAAAGTAAGGAAAAGTTTTGTCTCTTCCATGAAATCACTTGGAGATCAGTCCTAGCTGAGACCTGAGCCTTTTGAGTTCTTTTGTTGGCAGAAAACTCAATGGGGGTGGGAGGGG